AGTAACATCCTGCCTCAAAACCAAAACCAAAACAAACAACAAAAAGAGATCTGGGTTTGATCTAAAACCAGAAGAGGCCTTTAAACTGTTGGGTGCATAAAGGGAAACCAGGACTGTTAAACATATAGGGTTGTCTTTCAAAATAAAAGATATATAACCATTTCCCCAAAAAGCTTGGAATGGAGGTGTTAAAAGCCTAGGTTATTCTTTCCCTATCTGTAGGGCCAGGCCATGTAAAGCTCTCACAAGCAGGACCATGCTTCTTCATGCTCTCCCAATCATGTCCACAGATACTTAATAGTCTAGGTGATGTTTGTGCTATTTGTATGCCCAGAGGCTCCCCCCAAGCTCCCCTAACCAGGACCAGAGGTGAATGATAGCCCAGATAGGACCTCTAAGCTATCTGCATGACCAAGACCACACCAGATCCTCTCCCAGGGTCTTTTTTTTTTTTTTTTGGTTTTCAAGACAGGGTTTCTCTGTGGCTTTGGAACCTGTCCTGGAACTCTCTCTGTAGACCAGGCTGGCTCTCCCAGGCTCTTAAGATAGCACATGTATCCTATCTCTAGAACCTATTTTCATGGAAGAAATGACATGTACTTTTGAGAAGAGTTTCCATGCAATTATGCCTCTTTGTATGCAGGGGATTTTATTATACAACAAACTTCTTTTTCTTTTTTTTTTATTAATATTTTTTTTATTTTCCATTTTAAATTTAGATAAGAAACAAGGTTGCTTCACAAATCAGTACGAGGTCCCTCTCCCTTTCCCTCCCCTCCTCCCGTGCCATCCCCCCCATCCCCCCCCCCCCCGTTATCCCCTCTTTCCCCCAGGGAGGGTGAGGCCCTCCATGGGGGTGTCCATAGTCTTTTTTTTTGTTTTTTTGAGACAGGGTTTCTCTGTGGCTTTGGAGGCTATCCTGAAATTTGCTCTTGTAGACCAGGCTAGTCTCGAACTCACAGAGATCCCGAGTGCTGGGATTAAAGGCATGTGTCACCACCGCCCGGCAACAACAAACTTGTTTCCAGATTATACTGTACTTAAATATGCCTACAAAAAACTGCCCAGTGTCAGTCTCTAGAAGTTGAACCAACACCAGATACTGAGTTGTGATGAAATGGATTTTTTTATTAAGTTGTGCACATTGGTGTTTTTACCTGCATGTATGTCTGTATAATCGTGTCTGATCTCCTGATACTGGAGTTATAGACAGTTGTGAGCTGTCATGGGGGTCCTGGGAATTGAACCTGGGCTTCTGGAAGAACAGCCAGTGTTATTAATGGCTGAGCCATCTCCACGGCCCCTGAATTGGTTTTTTGTTAATATTTATTTTATGGGCATTGGTGTTTTGCCTGCATGCATGTCTACGTATGAGGACAATAGATCTCCTGGAACTGCCATATCAGTGCTGGGAACTGAACCCAGGTCCTCTGGAAGAGCAGCCAGGGCTCTTAATCTCTGAGTCATCTCTCCAGTCCTGGATTTCCTTCTTGTCTCATAAGTATCATTACTCTGCCAGTCCTAGTGTTTGCAGAGACAACCCCCACCCACATTAAACTAGATTATTTAATGGAAGTCTGAGTTCAAATTAACAAGACCTCTACGTAAGGGGCCCAGCAGTTAAGAGCATTTGTTGCTCTTGCAAAGGACTTATGTTTGAGTTCCAGAACCCACATGGTAGTTCACAATCATCTGTAACTGTGGTTCCAGGGGATCTGATGCCCTCTTGTGACCTCCATATGCACCAGGCACCCATGTGTAGACAAAATATCCATATATATATATAATAAATATTAAAAATATAAACAAAAAATTTAAAAGGACTTCTACTTTTAAAAGATTTTGAGCTAGCTGGTGGTACATGCCTAAGCACTTGGGAAGCAGAGGCAGGCAGATCTCTGACTTTGAGGCCAGCCTGGTTTACAAAGTGAGTTCTAGGACAGTCAGGGCTACATAGAGAAACCATGTCTCAAAAAACCCAAACCAAACCAAATTACTTTTGTTTATATGTGTATGTCTATGTATGTGTGCGCCATGTGTACGTGATTGCAAAACTAGGAGGACTGATCCACTAGAGCTGGAGTTACAGGTGGTTGTGTAACTGATGCAGGTGCTGGGATCCAAACTTAGGTCCTCTGGAAGAGCTGCAAGGGCTTTTAACTTCTGAGCCATCTCTCCAGCTTCCAAAGGAGGTTTTATGGCGTCTGATGCAAGGTCAGACCAGAGATGTCTTGATAGTGACAAAGGCCCAGCTGGAGCAGAGGGTCAGTGGTGATGGAATATTAACAAGAGACCTAGATTAAAGGTTCAGTCAAAGGAGATTCATCCAGAATTTCTTTTTTTTTTTTTTTTTTTTTTTTTTGGAGGGAGAGTTTCGAGACAGGGTTTCTCTGTGGCTTTGGAGATTTTCCTGGAACTCGCTTTGTAGACCAGGCTGGCCTTGTACTCACAGAGATACGCCTGCCTCTGCCTCCCGAGTGCTGGGATTAAAGGCGTGTGCCACCAATGCCCGGCTAGGTGCCAGTTCTTAAGAGCCAAACAGAAGTCCACCAGCACCACCCCACCGCCACCCAACCCCCCCACCCCCGGCCATCTAGAATTCAATACTAAATACTGAATACTAAAAGGGCATTAGTGGTGAAACAGTTTGGAGGAGTTCAGGATTAGAACCAAGTAGAAAAGGTCATGGAAGAGCTAGCTAACAGACGCAAGAGTGTGAGGCGTGCCAAGAGGAACTGGAGTTGCCTAAGGTTTAAGATCGGGTACTTATAGAGAAATAGAAAATAAAGGCCAGGGGGTAGTGGGGAGAAAAAAAGAAAATAGAGGCCAGAGTTTGAGGGAAGATCTGAGAAGTATCAACAGGGGAACTCTACTGAGGTCCCGGAAGCAGTGAGTGTGGAAAAACTAACAGAGGCGCAGTTTTCAGGGTTCGGACCTGAAGAGCATTGCTCACTATCCCAGGTCTGACACTGAAGAGTAAGGAAGCCGAAGGTAGGAGTAAAGGTAACGGTAGAGGTCTTGATGGTGAAGGCATTAACAGAGGTGCAGGTTTCAGACTAGGCCATGTGGACACCAGCAATAGTAGAATTTAAAGTGTCTGGTGGTTGGACAGATGGCTCAGAGGTGAAGAGCACTGACTGCTCTTCCAGAGGTCCTGAGTTCAATTCCCAGCAATCACATGGTGGCTCACAACCATCTGTAATGAGATCTGGTGTCTTCTTCTAACATGCAGGTAGACATAATGAATAAATAAATAAATATATAAATAAATATTAAAAAAAGAATTTAAAGTGTCTGGCGGTTGGAGAGATGACTCAGTGGCTTTGAGCACTAGTTGTTCATTCAGAGGATCCAGGTTTGGTTTCCAGCATCAGCATGGTGGCCTACAAATGTGTCTGTAACTCCAGTTCCAGGAGATGTGACACGCCTTCTGGCTTTTGTGGATACCACAGATATTAGTGTCTTACAAACATACATACAGGCAAAAAACCATACATATAAAGTAAAAATTATTTTATTATTTTTATTTATTTATTTTGGTTTTATGAGACAGGGTTTCTCTGTATTGCTTCGGAGGCTGTCGGTCCAGCCTAGCCTCGAACTCACAGAGATCCACCTGCCTCTGCTTCCCCAGTGCTGGGATTAAAGGCGTGCGCCACCACCGCCCGGCTTATTTTATTATTTTTAAAAATTTATTTTTTTACTATGCCTGCACACCAGAGGAGGGCAGCAGATCTCATTACAGATGGTAGTGAACCACCATGTGGCTGCCAGGAATTGAACTCAGGATCTCTGGAAGTACTCTTAACCTCTGAGCCATCTCTCCAGCCCCATTTATTGATTTTTAAATTGTTTTAAAAGATTTATGTATTTATTATGAATACAACATCCTGCCTCTGTGCATGTCTGCACTCCAGAAGAGGGCACCAGATCTCATTATGGATGGTTGTGAGCCACCATATGGTTGCTGGGAATTGAACTCAGGACCTCTGAGCTATCTCTCCAGCCCTAAAATTTTTTTTTATTTTTTAAAATTTATTTGTATTTTACATACATTGGTGCTTTATCTGCATGCAAGTCTGTGTGAGGATGTTGGATCCCTTGGAACAGTAGTTAAAGACAGTTATGAGCTGCCATGTGGATGCTGGGAATTGAACCTGGGTCCTCTGGAAGAGCAGCCAGTGCTCTTAACCTCTGAGCCATCTCTCTAGCTCCTAAAATTATTTTAAATTGAAACAAAAAATAATATAAAGTATCTGGCTAGGCTTGGTGGTGCACACCTCTGACCCAGTACTTGGGAGGCTGAAGCAGGAAGATAGCCATTAGTTTTAGAGTCTAGCCTGGGCTACACAAAGAGACTGTCTCAAAACAGTGTTTGAGTTTGAGGCCACAGTAGATAGGCATCAGTGAAGGAAACAGTAAGAAATGCCCAGGGACAGGTGTGTAGTTCAGTGGTACAACTTTTGCTTAGCACACAGATCTAGGCTCCATCCTTAGAAACAAAAGGAAACAAAAGCCCAGATCTGAGGTCAAACCAATAAGACCGTAATGGCAGAATAGTTGACAGAGGCCTGGGCTTAAGTTTGGATCACATGGACATCTACTGTTAGTATTGAGATTCGTGCTAACATTAGGAGAACTGATGGTAAAATAATAGAGTTCCAGATATAAGGTTAAGATCGAGGATCATCAGAGCAAAGATAACAGAAGTTATCAAGTTCAAAGTCAGATCAGTAGATAACTGTTGGTGGAAGCACAGGTTTTGGATTTGACTAGTGGTACACGTTGGTGGAGGAACAAATAAGAAATGCTCAGCTTCAGGCTCAACCCTGAGTTGCTCTTGATAGTGTAGCAGTTAGCAAGAACTCAGGGTCAAAACCAGACAAAGGGCGTAGACCAGGACTAGCTTTGAGAGGCAAGTAAATCAACACTCATGAACAGAACTCTGATGTCAAACCAAAGGCACAGTGATGACAAACAAATTAAGAGAGGTCCAAGTGTGACCAATAACATTAGTTTTTATTCTTTCTTGTCTGCTCAGTGTTTAGTTTCCTTTAGGTTCTAAGTCAAAAGTGTCACCAAGATGAATTTAAAGCAGACTATCCACTCTGCCACCTCAAAATTTTACAAGGAGGAAACCCCCCAAATCATGCAAACAATATTCATCATCAATCATCCTAGAACCAGACTCATTAAAGAAAACATTAAGCGTGTGAAGAAAAGAAGGAAGCTAGAGAAAAGTGGTATTTCCCTAAATTATCTTGCTACCTAAAGACCTTAGTAGAAACCGTGTATCTATCCGTTACAGAAAAGAGTCAAGCTCAGCTCTGATCTGCTATCCTCGGGAGCATTTACTTGGTGTCTGGTACCCTTCACTGTATCTTTCAGTTGTACTTGTCACTGTCCTCATAGGAAATCACTGACCCTGAAGCTGGATTGGGAATGTTGGTACACATCCATGATTTTGACAACATGACCAGTCCAGCTCACAGATCCTTATCTAATAACTATTTGCTTAAGATCTGTCTGACGGAGCCAGAAAGGCTTTTGGCTACAAGTGATCACATTGTTACAAGGTTAAACAAACAGGGAATTAGCTTCTTCCATCAAAGAGCTGCTGTTAGTTCCACACCTCAGCAACACTGAGCTCCCAGGTTGGTGACTGAGGTCCCAAGATGTTAGCTGAAGTTCCAACTGATGCAAATGTAGCAGCATATGGATCTGTGGAATTAGCTGTAAGGGCCCCTGGTGATTCTGCAAAGTGAAATGCCTTCATGATTCTAAATACTGACAATGATTTTGGAACTTATTTCCTTGCTGACACCCAATAATGAACATTGGTCTCTGAGCTGGTCCAGGGCTTAGATTAGAGTCCTGGATGGATATGGGAGGCTATGGGGGTAGGTAAACTTACAGATTTTCTATTTCTTCCTCCCCACAGCAGCATCTGTAGTTCAGCTCAAGTTCATGGCTGCCTGCATACCAATCTAGAACTCCAAGAACTCAACACTTCTGCTGCCTGTTTGGGGGCCACAACTCAAAGCATGGATAAGTGTGGGGTCCACCCAGACAGAAGCTGTGAGGTTGGGATGTTTTACAGTCTAATCTGATGAAATCCCTGGGGTTGAACTCAACATTGCTCCCTAATTTCTCTATTGCCGTCTGATTCCACACCCCGGCCTCCGTCATTCAGGAAAAGCCAAGCTCCTCACCCTGGCCCAAGAAGCACTAAGGACGTCTGATGTCCCGCGGCACACTCGCGTCAGCGCCTCTGCACTCACTCTTCTGTCTGTTGAGGATGCTTTCCTACCCCACACTATGACTTCCCTCATGTCATTCAGATCTTTAAAATGTCATCCTGGCAGGGACACTTTTCCTGATGACACTGTCGAAAGAAGCCACCGCCCCCTCCCTGTACCTACAACCTCATCTCCTTTCTGGTTTTCTTCACAACACTCATCTTTAACTCCCGTATTATATACAGACACTTGTCCATTAAATAGGCTTATACCCCAACCAACCTGTCATAACTTCACCTATCACATTGGAAATGCATTAATGTCCCTAATCTACCAAACCCCCTAGCTTAGCCCCACCTACCTTGAATGTGCTCAGAACAGTGACATTATTCTACAGGTAGGCAAGCTTACCTAATGCAAAGTCTAGAACAAAATGCTGACTAGCGCATGTAATTTACTGAACACCATACTGAAAGGAGAAAAAGAAGACCGGGTGTATGTGTGTGGTTCTGCAGTACTAGAGGATCCAAAAGTTGAAAAAACGGTAAGGAAAATTATACTCCAAGGAATGGCTGTACTTCGTCTACCATTGCTTGCCTCCCCTATGATGCAAGGCCACAAGGGCAGGAATTTCTGTTGCTTGAGGCCACAGCAGTGACCCTCTTTCTCAGAACAGTCCCTGATGACACAGTTGGTGCTCTCGTTCCTGTCTACTGTACGTGACACATCACGGCACATACTCGGTGCTTGTTGAAGGGATGAATACATTACTGCACAACTGAGGAAGTAGACCCCGGTCCACGGGAGGCCTCAGTGCTCCCTAGTGCCTCCTTGTGGGGGACCTTGGAGTTGCCCCTCAACACAACCACAGAAATTTTATTTACAACGCAAGACTGGAGTGAGAGAAGGGGCCAGTGGGCAGTGCAGGGCTGGCGGAGCCCTACTTTTGCTCTCGTCTCCAGACGATGACCATGCCACTGGCGTCACTGGAGGCCAGCAGGCTCTCGTCGCAGTTGAAGCTGACGTCAAGCACAGGCGCACTGTGGCCCTGCAGCTTGTTGACAGCAGCCTTGGCCGCCCGCTCCACATCAAAGAAGTGAACGCACATATCCTCACTGCCTGTCACTGTCCAGATGAGAGGGAGAGAGTAGCAGGTGGTTACTGTGGTACCCTAGTAGGAAGCCCCTGACGTTATGTGAGGTGTGAGGGCCTCAGTGTAGCTTGGGCTAGTCTAGATGGGAGTTCGCCTGCCTCCTTTGGTTCTGTGGGTAGTACGGAAGGTTTTAGGCAAGTGTGGAGTCTGTGTCACAGCTATGAGGTTCCCAAGCTGTTTGTGGCTCCATGTTTAAAGTATTCAGGCACGAGACCACAAGGCTCAGGAAGTCATGGCATCTCGGGGGGGGGGGGTTATGATGATGGAGTTAGGCTGGCAGCAGCACTGGTCTCTGTGTCTTCGCAGTCACCCGGGTCCCCTGCTCCTGAGCACTCACCCACACAGGCCCCCTGGCGGAAGGACATGAGGGGGCAGAAGATACTGCGCACGGGATGTGAGTTCTGCTCAATGGGGAAGCTTCTCTTCAGTTGCAGCGTCCCTTCGTTGTCCACCACTCTGAAGAGAAGGCAAAAGAAAGGGTCAGGGCAAAACCTTAGCCTCAGGAGATGACCCGCTTATGTTCTGAATCCTATACCTGAGATATTTACAATGTTGAGGAAATTCAGATTTTTTTTTTCATTTGGAGACTATGTTGTACAAGCTGAGTCTGAACTCAGGCATTCAAGAGATCCTCCTGCTTCAGCCCCTGGAGTGCTGGCACCATAGGTGTATATTATCACCCTGACCATTTTTTTCAATGTATTTCTTTTCATTTTATGTGTAAGGGTACTCTGCCTGCATGTATGTCTGTGCACCACAAGTGTGCATACAGTATCAGAGGAAGCCAGAAGAGGGTGTTGGATGCCCTGGAACTAGAATTACAGACAGTTGTGAGCTGCCATGTGGCTGATGGGGATTGAACCTCAGTCATTTATAATAGCAACAGTCCTCTTAAGTGCTGCTAAGTCATCTCCCAGGCCCTTAGGTTTTTTTTTTGTTTGTTTGTTTTAGATATGTTCTTATTGTGTGGTTCTAGCTGGCCTGGAACTTGCTATGTAGATCAGGCTAGCCTTGAATTCATAGAGCTCAACTTCCCTCTACCCCCTAAGTGCCATGATTTAGGGCATGAACTCCCCTCCCTCCCCAGAGACATTGTTTCTCTGTGTAACAGCCCTGGCTGTCTTGGAACTCTCTTTGTAGACCAGGCTGGTCTCGAACTCAGAGATCCCCTGTCTCTGCCTCCTAAGTGTTGGGATTAAAGGTATGAGCTACCATGCTCGGCAGGGCATGAGTTTATGGCCAGCTTTAAAAAGCCTAATTTTTTGAAGTAAGTGTGGTCATTAGGTCTTGTACCCTGGCTAGAGAATTGTAACATGACAGAGATGGGTGGGAAGAATGAATTCTGCCCCCCAAATCAAAAGAACAAAACAATATAGCTGTGGTTGAATCTCAGTGGAGGAGTGTTTTTAGCTTGTACAAGGTTCTGGGTTCAATTCCCAGCACCAAATAAAGAAAAAGAAATGGAGCTGGAGAGATGACTCAAGCGGATAACGACATTTGCTGCCAGGTCTGACAACTTGAGTTCGATCAGTGGAACCTATAAGGAAGGACAGAATAGACTTCCACAAGTTTTCCTCTTACCTCTGTATGTGAGCACTCAAACTGGCATGCACATGCATGTACACACACACACACACACACACACACACACACACACACACACACGCACGCACGCACGCACGCACGCACGCACGCACATACACAGAGAAATAAATAAATGTGAAAAAATTCAAAGCAAAGAAAGGGAAACAATGACTGCTATTTTTCTTTAATTATATTATTGGGAGTGGAATGCACAGCCTCATACATGCTAGGCAAGTGCTCTACCACTGAGCTACCTTCTCAGCCCTTTATGTATTTATGTATTAGTTTGCTTAACTATACAATGGAGACGAAAAAACAGTATCCAATTCCCAGGCTGTTGTGAGGATTAAATAAGGTAGTATGTATGAAATGCTTGGAACAGGGCCTGGCCATAGCAATGTTCTTGGAGGGGCTCATTACTGCTAGTCCTATTTATGTTGCTATTAAGGTCATCATAGTGTACATTGTGTACATTGTAGGCCATGTATCACTATGCTATGTAGTATGTGTGTGTGTGTGTGTGTTTCTGGAGATGGAACCCATGGCTTTGTACTTGCTAGAAAGCACTCTGCCACTAAGCTACATCCCCAACCCTACCATCATATTATGAGGTCAGACCTCCGTCCTTGGTGAAATTAATGAATGTGATGTGAACAGGTCTTGTTCCACTCTGATGGAAGGGATGGCCCTCCACACGCGGATGGCCCCCACTGGGGAGGAACCCACCTGTAGAGCAGCAGTTTGTTGAGGCAGGCATTGATGAGCAGCGAGGGGTCCCGAGCTTCACGGCTGACCCAGGACCGGGCGGAGATGCTGGTTACAGGGCTGCCCTCATGCACTACTAGTCGCTTGGCTTTGGTCAGTTTCCCTGAATCGGTGGAGGCAAAGGTCAGTACAAGGACTGAGTCCTGGGACAATAAAAAAAGAGCTTACCTAAACATAGGTCTGTGGTCTGCCTACCTGTGGCCATGTCAAAGAGAAAGGAGAAGATGCTGCCGCGGTCATCACCTGCCCAGAGAAGCCGGCCAGGGGCATCAAAGGACAGGGCAAGGACACGGCCTGTGAGCTTGCTGGAGCCACCCTTCACTTTCTTGCCTGTGGAGATGTTCATGACATGCACATTGTGCTTGGCATTCCCCACCTGTGGGTGGAATACATACACCATCATTCCGACCCATAGAGCCCTCCCCTGATTTAACACAGCAGGACTGTGTAGGTACACTGGAAAGTGACCCTGGCATAATTCCTACTCCCTAGCTATCCCCTTAAGGCTCACAATAGGCCAGTTGCTTACGAGACTAAGGCAGTCTCAGAGCCAAAATGCTATCCCTGGGCCAATCTGAGAACCTGGGCTTATAATAATACCCTTACATCTTTGCCTTGCACTCTGGACTGCCCCCTCTTGAAGCCCATGAGCTACTACCACTGAAATGAGACAGAGCCCCAAGCATTAGCTCACTCATGGTCTGTTGTTCCTCTGTATTTCAACTCTCTACCCCCAGGCCATGCCAGAATTTCCATGTCCTTCCTCTGCCCTCTGACCAGTCTGTCCTGGAGTCTGACCACAGTGGGGCTGCCACGGATAGATAGACGAGCTTTCAGCCTCATCATGTGCTCTAGCAGCGGCCTCTGTAGACAGAAAACTAAGACTGTGGTTGATGGGGCCAGAGGAATCCCATGACCCCAGCCCAGCTCAGCTCAGACGTCTACCAGAGACAGCAAGGCCATCCCAGACCATGAACTGTGCTTTTTGTTGATCTGTTTCCCTTTGAGTCTGACCACAGGACTGCTGTGACAGGACTTGGGGGTATTAAACCTTATACTCTGGTGCCCCAAGACAGCCCTCCAGACCCAGCATGCCCGCCCTTGGTGAGCAGGTGTCCTGGAGCCTGACCACAGTGAGGTTGTTGTTGACGGGCTGGAAGGTGCAGCACAGCAGTTCAGCGCCATCAGGGTCAGGGATCTCACGGATGCAGCGGCCGTCCTCGGAGGCCCAGATGCGCATGGTGGCATCGAGGGAGGTGGACACGAGGATGTCATTGGAGAGGGACCAGGCGAAGTCGGAGACGCCACGCGTGTGGCCCCGTAGCACATGAAGCACAGTGGGTGGGGCAGGCACCAGCTGGCACAGGGAGATGCTGCCGTCCAGTGAGCAGCAGGCCAGGCGGTGCCGGTCGTCATTGGCGAAGCGCACCCTTGGGACTGCAAATGCCAAGGAGCCATTTGTGGGAGTCAACACATTCACTGAGCACAAGGAATGGTAGCCTCAACAAAGGGCTTTCCTTGGCTGACAAAGGCAGTTGCAAACCTTAGAAGGCTCACTGCCAACATGCCCTCTAGATCTAGCAGGCACTTTGAGGACTACAAAGGTCTGCAATGCAAAAAACCCTGTACTGCGTTACTGAGAACAGTAATCAAGCTCTCGGGAGTTTGTAAAGCCCTCCACACAGAGTGGCCTACTCTGCCCTCTGCAAGGAAATTATCATCAGCAAAGGCTTTGGACTCTTCTGAGTCACTCATGAACCCAGGCAGCCTGCTAAAAAGGGATCTCTTGACTTTCTGTGGCTCTTCACAATACCTAAACTAACAAAAACTTTGCAGACCACTTTGCAGAGGGCCTTTGCATTTGCTAATGCTTTTATGAGTGGTAATTTCTCCCGCTGAAGTATGGTGCCAGAGACCTTGCACTGGAAAAAAAATCAATGTCTTGGGTAGTTGTTTGAGCAAATGTTTGGTGATGGGTCCCACCACCCGTTTGCTTACCTGCCTCATCCACGTGCTGGTCAAAAACATGGTACATGCCTGCAAAGGCATAGTTTTCACTCAGCGATGTGTCGCCGGCCATGGCCCGACTTGCCTCTGCCACCGATGTGGGTACCACACTGCCGGGAGGCCTGAGCCCCAACAGGAAGTAGGGGGTGATAGGAGGTAGGTGTGGGTGTTCAGACGGCCATATCCCAGGGCCCCTCTCCTCCTGGTGAACCTCCGCCCCCTGCCTGCCTCTGGTATGTACCTGTCCTCATAGACTGCACGGTTCATTTGGGCCTGCAGCTGGTAGGAGCCTCGGCTGACAGAACGGCGGTGTCCTCGGGCCCCCAGGGCTCGAGGATCATCTTCAAAATCCTGCAAACAAGAGAGGGTCAGGAGAGGCAAACACACAACTAATCACTGAACTGAACCCAAGGAACCCAGTGACAGAGAGGAGTGATGAGCAAATTGGCAAAGAATGGGCTGGCAAAACCAGCAGAGACAGCTGATCTGAACAGGGGAGAGCCCTTGGACCCCAGACCAACAGTGGGGAGGCCAGCATGGGACTGATCTGGACCCCCCAAATGTGAGTGTCAGCGAGAAGGCCTGGGCAACCTATGGGGCCCTGAGCTGTGGATCAGTGTCTATCCCTGGTATACAAACTGTCTTCATGTGCCTATAGCACAAAGAGAGATGCTCTCTCAGCCTGGACTCTTAGGGGAGTGCCTTGACCCTACCAAGAGTAAAATGACAGACTCTAGATATCTCCTATGTGGAAGGATTTGGCAATAGGGTGGGAGGGAGGGGGGAAGGGGAGTGCGGGAAGAGGGGAGGGAGAGGGAACTGGGATTGACATGTAAAACAAGCTATTTAAAATTAAAATAAAAAATGAAAAAAAAGAGAGGGTCAGGGATGGTGCATGCCTCTAATTCCGGCACTTAGTACAATCATGTCTTCCTTACAAAGAATAACCACTCCCCCCAGAAACCACTCAGATCAGTCTCTCCCTTCAGCCAGGTTTCATTGTCACCTCCTCAGTCTTCCCTATGAAACACAGCTTCCTCCTTTAGCTCAAAGTAGTGACTTTTCTTTTGTTATGTTTAAATGGACTTTTTTTATTAATTTATTTTTTTTACATTCCAAACCCAGTTCCCACTCCCTCCTCTCCTCCCACTCCCCCCAACCCTGTTCTCCTGTTTGCTCCACAGAGAGGGTAAGGCCTCCCCTAGGAAGTCTACTAAGTCTGTCCCATCATCTTCTTGAGGCAGGAACAAGGCACCTCTCCCTTCCACACCCCTGTGTCTAGGCTGGACAAGGTGTCTCTCCATGTAGAATGGGCTCCACTAAGTCAGTTTGTGCATTAGTGTTAGGTATTGGACCCACTGTCAGTGGCCTCATAATGTCCCAGTCACACCATTGTCACCTATATTAAGGGAGACTAGTTCAGATTTATGCAGGGTCCCACTTTGTCAGACCAGAGTCAGTGATCTCTCACTAGCTCAGGTCAGCTGATTCTGTGGGTTTCCCCATCATGATCTTGACTCCTAGTAGTGACTTTTCATTCTTGTTTGCTATGTTGGGACTAGAACCATCAGCCTCAAGAATACTAAGAAAGTACTCTATTACTGAACTACATCCCTGCACCAAACTCTCATTCCTTTTTGTTTTCTAAGTCCATTTTATGTTACTATTGTAGCATTTCCCACTACATCACGCTAATTATCAACTCATTAATCCGACTTGCTCTGTTTATCTAACCCACTGCCTGTATATCACGCTTACTGACTTAGTTGCTATCTTACTATTTAGTCTTCTCCTGACACTGGCACAGTACTTTTGTACACTACCCGTGTTTGACAAAAGGCTGTGGTGACTGTGGAGGTAGGGGACACACGTGGCAGGTGCTGCAGCCAGGAGCTCACCTCCATTCGGTCAAGTGTCGTACGACTGCTGCGGATAATGCTGTTGCTATAGGCACGAGCACTGCCTGGCTCAGAGAGTGGCCCGTAGCGCTGACCCAGTAGCTGACCCCGTAGCCTCAGGTACTGCCGACGCAGTGCTGGGGGGTGCCCAGCCTTGGCATTCTCCCGCAGCAGCTGGCTGCGCCGGCGAATATACTGGGTCCGAAACTGCGGAAGCGTTGGCGTGCGGTAGGCGTTGTACCTGTGGGGTTTAGGAGGCAGGGCAGGCAGCAGGCACAGGACAGAGGGAATAAGTCAGCTCGAGGCATAGGGTAGTGCAATGAGGTATTTGGCAGTGATTGGGATGCTAAGTATGATTACCAGTGGTAAAGGGGGGAGTCCTCCTGGTACTGTGGTGGGGGTAATTCTGCATTAATAACGGGTAGGAGGAAAAGGTCAGTCTGGATACTATATAGTCAATTTGCAGCTCTGCTGGGGTGAGTCTGGGTCAACTATATTATCAGTCTAGCATGAAGACAAACAAATATCAGATTGGCAATGGAGGTTAGGGTCAGAGGATGATAGAGGTTAGTATGAGGTAGCAATTGGGTAATAATAGGGTAGTGGTATCAAGAAAAGTTGGGGAAGAGGATAGGCAATAAGGAAGTCACCAGCCTGACTTCCACTACCCACCCAAAGACAGTCTCTTTGCGCATGTCTATATCTAACCGCATTTTCCCAGCATGCTCTTTAGAACCTTCTCTGGCCGGGCCACTTCACCGCGGGAATATCCCACACCAAGCTAGCTGCGCATGCTCACGCAGCCGTACCAGCCAAGTTCTCCGCCCAGCCTCACTTATCGCCATTGCTCATGCACCACAGTAAGTTCCGCTCCCATGGGCTCCAACCCCACGCCTCACCTCGCGTCCACTGCTAAGACTTGCTGCCACACCGCGGCCATTCCCTGGCTTCCTTCTATGGCGCGTCTGCCTGCGGGAGTCTGCAGGGCAAGGGCTTGGAACGCCGGCGTCCCAGGCAGAGGAAATCTAGTTCCGCCCTTTCCACCAGGTGACAGTTGCCATAGACACGAAGTCCCTCCACACAGGTGATGTCGCGAAATCCCACTGGGTCGCTAGCATGGTCATCACCCCAGCCCTGCCTTTCCTGGGCAGCACTCCGGTGACTCACAGCAGCAATTCAGACATGACCCCGCCCTCCCCAGTTGCCTTAGCAACGCCCCTCCCCCACCTAGCAAGTCTTGTTTGACATTCCCCACCCATCAAGCCTTCTGCCTCTTCCTTCCCTTTTCTGATCCTAGAGCATTGCCCAGGGCTCAGGACCACCTCCGGGGCTGCCCCTGGCTCTTGAGGCTCCCGGGGCGGCCCTGAGCCGGGTGTCACCGGTTCCTTCTCTGCTCCCTGTCTCAAGCTCCAGGCAAGATGGCTGCCTGCAACCAGAAAGAGCTGCGGAGCACAGAGCAAATCGATAGGAACCTTTCCCAGGGCGTGGGAGCCTCGCAGGCGCATTGAAGGATTGTAGTTTCCCGTACAAGGACAGAGGCTCCACCCCTTGAGTTCTATTCATTTCCCCCCTGACACCTTTTGTATCACACGGATAAAGTACTGGGGTCAGAGGATCTGGGTGAGTATGTCAACCACTTGCTAAAAATCAGAAATAATGACTTTCTTGTGAAAGTGGTTTAGGCTGCTTCTCAGCAGCACAAATTTAGCCAGGCAAAACTTGATTAAAGTCTATGCAGAGACTGACTCCTAGAATATTCTCTAGTTCTTAGAGCAGTGATGACTCTGGACACCTATGTGATGAGAAGAATCCATGTGTGTGTTTACCGGGGGTAACTGGACTTGGATGGTTGCCCCTTGGAAACTTGAGTGTTTTAAATAAAAAGATGTAATTAGGAAAAACAAGCTTTGGGGGTTTGACCCAAGGAAACGATCCCAATTGTTATTCACTTTAAACTGGAATCTGTATCTCAAACATTCACCTCCAGGTCATAAAGATATACAGATTTTACAAGGCTGAAATTCAATATGTAAGTCTAGCATAATAGCAATCCTATAAAGGGGGGAAGTGGGGGAAGAGAATGGCAGGAGGACGAGTTTGAATCCAGCCTGGCCTACATAGTCAATTCCAGGATAGCCTGGGCTACACAGTGAGAGCCTATCTCAAAAAGCAAGCAAGCAGGGTGGAGATGGCTCACTGGGTAGTGTTTGTTGCACAAGCTTTTGTTGTTAAATAGCTAGATCCCATGGAAGAAGAGAACCTAGTCCCTACGGTTGTCTTCTGACCTCCACAGATGTGCTGTGGCGTGCACCCCCTATCAATGCAAGCAAGCAAAGAAACTCAAGGAGCAATACAGTTTCCTACTGTACCTTAACAGCAGCTGACCCAATTTTCAAAACTTTCACAATAGATACAGTCGACTTAGTTCAGCATTCAATTGCTCTGATCAAACACTGACCAGAAGCAACTTGAGGGAGGAAAGGGTTTATTTTACCTTACAAATTCCAGGTCACAATTCATCACTAAGGGAAGTCAGGGTGGAAAATGAAGCCAGGAACTAAGCAGAGATCATGGAGGAACATTGCTTACTGGCTTGCTCCCCAAGGCCTGCTGTAGCCTGTTTCTTCACACAGCTCAGGCCCACTTGCCCACAGGTGCCTACATCAACCATGAAGAAATTGCCCTACAGACATCGCTACAGGCCAATCTGATGGAAGCATTTTCTTAATTGGGGTTCTCTCTTTCCAGATGACTTGTGTCAAGCTGACAAAAAAACTAACCATCAACTAAGTAATTTTTCTAGGTTGCCTGAAGTGAGGAATAAAAATAGGTGAATCCTATTGACAGTATCTTCTGTCACTGTTGTAAAATGTCTTCTGTAATATAACTGCTAAAGAATAAACTATATGTCTTCACACAAAGAAATAAAAATTTAAGGCCGGGCGTTGGTGGCACACAGCTTTAATCCCAGCACTCGGGAAGCAGAGGCAGGCGGATCTCTGTGAGTTCGAGGCCAGCCTGGTCTACAGAGCGAGTGCCAGGATAGGCTCCAAAGCTACAGAGAAACCCTGTCTCAAAAAAACAAAACAAAACAAAACAAAACAAATACAGATTTAAACAAGACTGTAGTTATTCATTGGACAAAGTGCTAGACACTGTTTAAATAGCTTACATGTATTAATCTAATATTTTTATGGAATAGGGGATATGACCCAGGACGTTCGGTCTCCACTTTCCAAGAATTGGGTCATCACAACTGACTTCTAGTCCTTTATTTTTCTGTTTTTCCAGACAGAGTTTCTCTGTGTAACAGCCCTGCCTATCATGGAACTCACTAGGCTGGCTTTGAGCTCAGAGATCAGCCTGCCTCTGCCTCCCAAGTGCTGGGATTAAAAGTGTGTGCCACCACCGCCCGGCCCAGTCCTTATTATTTTTTGTTTGAAACACAGCCTCAGAAAGCCAATAAATCAGCAAATACTAAATAAAAAGGATTGACATTACTTTAAGTTGGTCAGTGATGGCTCAAACCTTTAATTCCAGTACTTGGGAGGCAGAGGCAGGCGTGAGTTCATGGTCAGCCTGGTCTACAAAGTTTCAGGACAGTCAAGGTTACACAGAGAAAACTGTTGCAAACAAAACAATCAACCAACAAAACAAAAAGTAGTTTAGGCTGGCCTTCAACTGGATATATAGCTGAGGATGGCCTTGAATTTCTGATCCTGTTTTTTTTTTTCTTTTTAAACCTCCTCATGCTGGGATTAAAGACATGTACCACCATGCCCCAGATCTATTTACATTTTTCTTGAGACTCAGTCTTGCTAAATTTCCCAGGCTGGCTGAAGTTGTCTTCCTTCCAAGTAGCCAGGATTACATCATTCATCAACATGTCCACCCAATTAAATGTTAATAGGAATGTTGTGAATCCTGTTACTGAACCTAGTTTATAGATGAGAAAATATGAAGTCCCTCATTTGTGATCCACACTGTATTTTCATTATTCTTTTTTATCATAAAGAATGCTATGATCAATGTGTTTTAAAATTTCACTATACTTATTTGGGAGGGGACACATGCACTGTGGTATGGGTGAATTCCAGGAATCAAACCCATGTCCTCAGCTTTGGCAGTAAGAGCACTTCTCTTTGTGAGAATGTCTTTCAGGAAGGTCCAGATTAGATACGAACAATGTAATTACAGGAGTCAGTGTGAATTAGTCATTAATGAAGAGGTTTTGTGTTAGATTTTGTGTGAATATTTGCTATGTCAAGAAGCAGTATAAGTTTTCAAAGACAGTATAACTTGGCCAAGTCATACATACAACCTGTTTGTGACTCAGTCTCTCCATCTGAAAAAACCTGTCTCACAGGTTATGTATGTTACATGGTCCAATATGTGTAAAGCTTTGGCTAGCATCTGGAATAGATGCTAAATTTTGATAATTTTTCATGGTTAGGTAGGCTAATTTGTTTATTTATCTTTTGTTTTTTTGAGGCAGGGTTTCTCTGTGGCTTTGGAGGCTGTCCTGGAACTCGCTCTGTAGACCAGGCTGGCCTCGAACTCACAGAGATCCGCCTGCCTCTGCCTCCCGAGTGCTGGGATTAAAGGCGTGCACCACCAACGCCCGGCTCTAGTTAGGCTAATTTAAATTTTTTACTATTGGTGGGGGCTTGAGACAGGGTTTCTCTGTGTAACAGCTCTGGCTGTCCTGGAACTCTGATTGTACACCAGGCTGGCCTTGAACTCATTGCCTCCCAAGTGCTGGGATCAAAGGCGTGTGGCATCACCACCTGGTTAAAATTTTTACCTTAAAATTTTACTTTGAAAAATTTTAGCCAGGCGTTGGTGGCGCATGCCTTTAATCCCAGCACTCGGGAGGCAGAAGCAGGCAGGTCTCTGTGAGTTCGAGGCCAGCCTGGTCTACAGAGTGAGTTTCAGGACAGCCTCCAAAACAATACAGAGAAACCCTGTCTCGAAAAACCATAAAAAAAAAAAATAAGGGCTGGAGAGGTAGCTCAGAGGTTAAGAGCACTGACTGCTCTTCCAGGGGTCCTGAGTTCAATTCCCAGCAACCACATGGTGGCTCACAACCATCTGCAATTCAATCTGGCATCCTCTTCTGGCATGTAGGCAGAACACTGTATATGTAATAAATAAATCTTTAAAAAAAATTTTACTTTATAAAAGCCATACATGGGTGTTGGTGGTGCACACCTTTAGTCCCAGCATTCGAGAGGCAGAGGCAGGCGGATCTCTGTGAATTCAAGGCCAGCCTGGTCTACAAGTGTTAATTCCAGGACAGCCTCCAAAGCCACAGAGAAACCCTGTCTCGAAAAACAAAAAAAAATTAGCATACAATATATTAAGCTTTATTATAGTATTTTCAAATATATCTTTCTTGGGGGCTGGAAAGATGACTTAGTGCTGCTGCTCTTGTAGAGGACCTGAATTCAGATCCCAGCACCCCATCATGTGGCCCAGAATTGCCTGTTACTCCAATTCCAAAGGATCCACTGCCCACACACACACAAAAATTTTAAAAATACAATTTTTCGCCGGGCGTTGGTGGCGCACGCCTTTAATCCCAGCACTCGGGAGGCAGAGGCAGGTGGATCTCTGTGAGTTCGAGGCCAGCCTGGTCTACAGAGTGAGTTCCAGGACAGCCTCCAAAACAATACAGAGAAACCCTGTCTTGAAAAACCAAAAAAAAACAAAAACAAAATACAATTTTTCTTGACTCCCTCTTTTGGCTTCTCCCCAACTCCTGCTTCCTCTTGTACCCTTCTTTCCCCAGTACCCCCCTTTATTTCTCTAGTAACTCTTTCCCTTTCTCATGGTCCCCTTTCAGTTTCATGTCCTATATTGCTTTTATAAGACTTAATGGACACTAATCTGTCAAGGTATTTCAGGTGCAGAGGTCATATTACTTAGAACTCCAGCCACCTCCTACACTTACTCTGCAATTTTCAATTTTTAGGGGTTAGAGAGATGGCTCAGCATTTAAGAGGTTTGCTGCTTTTCCAGTAGACCCAAATTCAGCTGCTAGGATGATGTCAGGCAATTTTTCTGGCTACTGCAGGGGTGCAGCCAGTGAGTGTTTGGGGGAGAGGAGGGTCTTGTGTATCAAGTCATGAAAAGCAGCTCCTGGAGGTTATGAGTGACTAGTTACAATGATGGACTTAGAAAAGCTAAAGCCCCATTGACTTTAACAGGACAGTTTTACTGTCAGATGAGGTAAGGTCACAGCCAAAGAAAAGTAGACTGAAGACAGGTAAGTCACAATTCTTTGAAGATACTGCTCATGACAGCATCCACTCCAACGGTGCAAGATCTAGATTCATCTTCCTTTCCTGCCTGCAAAGCTTAAAAATGCAGAGAAAAGCACAGGACTACATTGGGGGAAGGGGGTGCTGAAATCTAACTTCAGGGGACAAACTGAAACATTATTTGAAGGAAA